AGATACTTACAAGTATTTAGTTTAGTATTAGAATGACCTGAGTTCCAACAGAATAAACTCAAGTTACGTACTTCAGATACGGATTCTATTAAGTTAATGAACTAAGAATACTAACGAATGGTTAGATGTAGCTGGGAAACCGGCTATAAGTCGGCTAATCGGTTCATTTTGTATCAACTTAGTTAATTCCTTTAACATTAAGGTATGAAGGTTTAATTTAATTCTATGAACTAATATTCTACATCTATTTTACAAAGTTAACGCGTTAATTGCCGTTTAATTCCTTAGTGACAAAGTAAGCAAAGTTTGCTCAGTAAATATTTAAAGGCGTCGTGTTCGACGGAGATTCAAAGTTCTTGTAAGATTTGTGGCTTGTACTAAATTTAAGTTATTACAAATAATTTGGTGAAATTTGAATTACGGTAATAAACAAAATTTAATCTGAGCTAATTTTAATAAAATTAAAAAATAATCATGAATACACCTGGCATATTTATACATATACTAGCTTTGGCCCGCGACACCGTCCGCGTGGAATTAAAAAAAAGAAAAGTGACTATCTGGACTTCCTGACTATCCTTTACGTTTTTGCCAAATTTCATCGATATTCGTTCAGCCGTTTAGGCTACAAACTCTAACAAACATCCACCCATCCATCTATCCATCCAAACATTTACACTTTCACAATTATAGTATTACTAGCTTTCGCTCGCGTCTCCGTCCGTATGGAATTAAAAAAAAAAACAAAAGTGAATAGCCTATGTGTTCTTCCAGACTATCTTCTACATCTATACCAAATTTCATCGAAATCCGTTCAGCCGTTTAGGCTACATACTCTAACAAACATCCATCCATCTAAATTTTCGCATTTATAAAATTAAATAAGTAAGAAGGAAGATAACATATATGACATAATTTGCAGATTAAAAAATAAACAAATAAAATGTAGATTTTTCTTACTTTATACATACTTTTGTAGCCAAATTCGCACTCCCATCATTATTAAAAAGAGGATTAAAAAGGCAAACAAAAAAATGGGACCCACCTGCAAGCACTACATTTTCGGATAAAAAAGAATTATAAAAATCGGTCCAATAGCGGCGGAGTTATGACGTAAACACATGGAAAAAAACATACAGACGAAAAGAGTACCTTCTTCTTTTGGGAAGCCGGTCAAAAAGAAAGAGGAATTTAATAAAAAAGGCTGTTCATGAAATACGTAAACATTTCCTTAAATTAATTCATACATTATGTTCATATTAATTTACAAAATATTAACAAAAAAAACAAAACGATGTTTTAATAGTCAACATTGTTGAATTTTGTTAGTTTAGGATCCTAAACGTTTTCATTTAACTACGACCCTCGCTTACATTACAAGCTTTGTAACTCTGAACAAAGTTATACTACATATTTATTACTAGCTTTAGCCCGCGACTCCATAGAAATAATAAAAACAAATGTGAGTAGCCTATATGTTCTTCCAAACTATCCTCTACATCTATACTAAATTTCATCAAAATCCGTTCAGCTTTAGGCTACAAACTCTAACAAACATCTATCTAAACTGTCGCATTAATATTAGTATGAATATTTTAACTAAAACGATGCTCACTTATCTATTCTAACAAGTTTAAGACAAAAAAAATATACAACAGCATTCGCGTGCGACTCTTTTCGCCTGGATTAAAAAAATGCGAGTAGCCTTTGGGTTCTTTCAGACTATCCTCTTCACAACACTACTCTAACAAACATCCATCTAAGCTATTGCATTTATAATATAAAAATGTACAAATATTAAAAAGTATTAACAATCGATTACGTTATGTATGTTAGCCAATTGTCACGTCCTTCACAACTCGTTAAGTTTTGTTAGCAATGCCATATTTCCAATTTATTTCGACAGTATCGGCTACAATTGAGTCGAGCAACGAACAGATATTCGATAGCTTTGTTTCAAATGTACAATTTTATGCAACGGATATACTACATTTTTACGTAACAATCTACCAATTCTATCATTCACAATAATGTGTTTTGAATGTAAAATATCTATATCTATACTATTATAATTAAGCGTAAACACACACTTCTTTTTTGCCTCAGATGTCAGCAATTAGAGCATATTTTTGAATAATTCTCTTTTTAATAAAAAGCCCTACACATACGTCAGGCTTTAGGCTATATATTTTTACGACATTAAACTTAGGGGGTGAATAAATTGGATAAAAACACTAATGTGGGAAAGAGACCATAAGTTGCTGCCAACATGAAGGAAAAATATTGCCATGGATTGTCTTCATGTCATGCCATTTTGACATTTGTAATTGATAATTTGACAAATGCAAACAAAAAAATTAAATTTTCATAATTTCATGCGTATGAAGTCGCACGGGAACAGCTAGTTAGTAATAAATTTACAATAACATAACCTTAAATAAAAATATCGATTGCCGACTCATCCCTAAATAAGGGTAGTTGTACATTGCTGAAATGTTGCACATGTTAAAAAAAAAACTAATTTTAACATTACATTTCATAAACCTTTGGGATTGGACAGTCGTAATATTTTCACGTAAAACACATTTTAAATAGCATTCATACTTTACAGCGAAAAGCACCGCAAAAGCGCTCAGATTAGGCGACGTAAAGCTTTAAAATGAAAAGCTTTTCATTGGCTAATACTCCTTATTGTTAAAAGGATGTCCTTACAAATAATTTTGTACAAATATATAGTTAAAACATTATCTATATCCTAAAATGTCCGGTATAGATAGTACGGGTTCGCCACATTCGGTGGCACATATATGTAGTTGAAATTTCGCGGCCCGGGTTAATTAGGGTAACATTTTTATTCTCCCGCACAAGTGGGTAGATTTAAATCTCTGTCCAGTACGGTCGGGCGCGAGGCTTGGAGTGGTGTGCGGGAGGAGTAGTGTGCAAGAAGCCAAGCGAGTTGATCAGTTACAAAAGTGCGAGTTCAAAGGACATCGGAATGGTTGTCCGACAACGGGAAATAATGGGCGTGTTATTTTTGTTAGCGAGCGGAGTTGCTTTGAATATCGGTTTCGTGTGTGGAACAATAACATACTGGTGCATCTGATGGCATCATCGCTTGCGCCTATAGACTTGACGGAACTAGGACTCGATTTTCACCGACAGAGACCAGGCACCTGCAGGAGATAATCCTGGTGAGTACAACTTTATCCTTCATTGTCCCCTTATTTACAAAATTATGCCCCCCGGTGCTTGCTTAGTTTTCGTATTTATAATATTACGTAAGATTTGTAAATTATTCTAAATCCGTTTGATATATTTATCTAGCTGCAAAATTACGGCGTATTATTTTTTTTATTAAAGCGCCATCTACATACATTTTGTACTAACTTAACTGGTATCTTATATTTGAATTTATTAGCAGGGCAGTAACCTTTACTTGTTGTTTAGGTATGTCGATAGGGGGCTCTGTAAAAAGTTTTGCTTGGAAATTATACCACAAATTAAAATACAAGCAAACTATAAATATTTAAATGTTGTAGAATATTAATAAAAAATAGTTAAGACTAGCTTTCGCCCCCGAATCCGTCCGCGCGTAATTATAAAAAACTTAGTAAGTGGACTATGTTTTCATCCAGACTATGTTCTACATGTATTTTAAATTTAATCGAGATTCGTTCAGCAGTTTAGGCTACAAACATCCATCTAAACTTTCACATTTGTAATATTTGTATGAAGTATGATTAGCAGAGCAGGTTTGTAGAATCCCTTCTCCCACTAACTTCAGACACAATGTTCGTCCACAGTACATAGTATCATCCGTTAACGCGTGACGTCATAAGTCCATCGGCAAAGTTTTTTGAGTTTAATTTTCTACAAAAATTACTGGATTAATAAACATTTTAATCATTCGGCGGCAAATATTTCAAAGACTTTTTATCGCACGATCGATTTTCTTTGTAAAAAATCAGTAATGTTAATCAAATGCATTTAAAAAATTTAGTTAACTTGTAAATAATAATAAATGCCTAAAGATTTTTCCTGAGTGACAGAAGATAGTTTTAAAAACTATTTATTCACAGTTGGGGTCGTTAATTTTGGCGACAGGTTCAAAAAAAACATACAGACGAATTGAGTACCTCCTTCTTTTAGGAAGTCGGTCAAAAAATATCTTAGTAACAAACAAACTTACTTACAGCTAACTGGACATAATCTTGGATGAAAATGGAAATATATTTTTCATATAAATAAGTATGATTGTTACATAAAAATAAAAATAATTTAATATACTATTTTCTATAGAAGTAAAATCTCTTTGGCTCTATTAGACATGAGACTGGGATCCTTTGGCCTAAGTTAACTCTTTTGATATGCTTTTTGAACCCCTCGAAAATATTGTAGTTCACATTTGTTTTCAGTTGTTGAGTTTCTACCCAAATTTACCTTTTGCTTACTAGAAAAGAGAGGACTTGTATTCTCAGGTTTCCATCATAATCATGACAACTGATTACTAACCAAATCTCGTAGTATTTGTCTTGTGTATATTTATTTTACTCTAACTTTCAAATTCGTAATGACACACGTTTTTATTGTAATCATTTTCGGTCTATCTGTTCTTTTAGATTTCCAAATTTTACATGCTTCTCTTGAAAACGAGCTGTCGCCCGCATTCCAGTGCAAATTTAAACCACCTATTAGGCGATTTTGACAGCGCATAATTAAAAAATAGTAGCCTGTAATATGCCCGTCTATGTCAGCTAACCTTCGATCCGAAATTACACTGCCGTTTCGGAGATATGCTGTGATTACTGACATCCTACTATAACAAAGAAGTATAGTTTGAATCAGAAAAACAAACCTTACATCTAGGTATTGCGATAAAATAACATGTCATCTGTAATCGCTTGTAGAAAACATATTTCTATAAACGATAGATATGATAAAATATTCCTATAAATATTAAAGCTGGTGACGAACTACGTTTATTTGAAATTTATATTTGGTAGAGATGCGTTTAATATTACTTTTGTCTTTATTAGTGGTAGCACTTGCAGCTGAATTGCCATTGGCCACGGAATGTGATGAGACGAAATGTCTACTACCAAGATGTAGATGTTCTTCTACTGACATTCCAGGAGGATTAGCAGCGAAAGATGTTCCTCAGGTATGGATTTTTTCAATAATACGAATCTTTGTCTTGCATGTTAAACTGGCCACTGTCCACCACATTTTTTGGTGATGGTATAGTGTAGTTAAAGTTGGTGATCATTATATTTTATCTGCCCACCGTTGGACATAGGCCTTTCTTAATTATTTCCACAGATTATCCTTCGTCTTCCGTATTCAACGACATCCTGCCGGACCTAATCAATATTTAGTCAATATTTTTTATTGGTTCTACTTAAATTAACTTTGGTTTTGTAGTTACGTTTTTAGTATTCAAGAAAAAGGTAGCGTTCTTCTAAATCCTCTTAATTTTTATTCTTTTTCGATATTTCTATATCCATTCATTGCTATCTTTTATTGCAGCATTGTAATGATTCATAATTATTACGAATTCTTTAATTACGTGTACATAAGTTTTGCATTTAAACTACAAACCTTATCTTTCCATCGAAATCAAAAACAAAATGTACCTTATCTTAACAATTAGCTCTTTAAAAATAATAGATGGTATCTTTTTATCGATAAGAAGTTAACAAGTAAAGGGTTTATCAAGAAAACAAGAAATTAAATTAAAGTTGTTAATTTGAATAGGATGCGATTTAATCTTCATGACTTCAAATGTAGATAGAATAAGCACCTAATAATAAACTAGTACATACATCTGTAGTTCCTCTGATGTTGCGGATATGCATTGGCGTCGTTGACCACCTCTGTGTTCCAGCAGCTCGTTTGCCCCCATATAAAAAAAAGCTAGCACCTATCACCTTATGACCACAATACAAGTAACATCAGGTGAATTCGTAACTCAATTTGATAAACAATAATTATTTTCAGTTCGTATCCGTTACATTTGATGACGCAGTAAACGTTATCAATATTGAAACGTATAGGGAAGTTCTATACGGCCGTAGTAATTCCAATGGTTGTCCAGCTGGCGCAACATTCTACGTCAGCCATGAGTATACCAACTACGTACTCGTTAATGAATTGTACAACCGTGGTTATGAGATATCTCTTCATTCGATGACCCATCAAACTCCTCAAACTTACTGGGCGGAGGCAGACTATGATGTTTTGGTTAAGGAGTTCGCAGACCAAAGGACTTTGATGTCTCATTTTGCATTGATCCCGGAGCAGGAAATCAGAGGTAATTTTATAGTACCACAAGAGTTGCAACTGTTACAGCTATTTTTTAATGTATTGTACCTATGTTTTAATAATCTTAATATGTTTTAGGTGTACGTCTTCCCTTTCTACAAATGAGTGGTAACGCTAGTTTCCAAATGATGGCAGATTCCGGTCTTGTATATGACAACTCCTGGCCAACCGTCAGTCACGTTAATCCAGGACTTTGGCCTTATACCCTTGACTACGCTTCAATACACGACTGTGTTGTGCCGCCGTGCCCAACTGCGTCCATACCAGGACCATGGGTCTTTCCAATGATCAGCTGGTCAGACTTAAATGGATCTCCTTGCTCGATGGCTGACAGCTGTTTCTTTACGTAAGTTTTGAGATGTTACTCAAAACGGATAAGCTATGTCTATACTATTATCATACTTGTTAAATGTGAGGCATCTTCGAAAGGCCTTTTGGATTCCGATTTGTGATATATTTTAGTGACAAAATATTGAATCGGTGTAGAACTTCAGAAAAGTTGTAGACTTCTTTAGATGAGAGACTGGTTATCTGCTGCCAAATCTTGCCATTCTATGAAATGGTTTTTTTTTTATCAACTTTCAGTCCTAAGTAGTTTAAGAGTACAAAGTTCGGGATTTATTAAGATATTGCTATCAATACTTACTTCAGTAAACTGACCACTCAATATCTATTACAGTCCTCCCCTAGATGATGAAAATGCCTGGTACAACTTCATCCTCACCAACTTCGAGAGGCACTACAACGGCAACCGCGCGCCTTTTGGCTTTTACATCCACGAATGGTACCTCGCTGTCAACCCTGCCGTCAAAGCAGCTCTCGTTAGATTTATGAATTACGTCAACAATCTGAATGATGCATTCATGGTAAGATTGAGAGATTTCCGACTATGAAGTCATCATTTCCCCTACCTTATCCTACTCCCGTGAGGTTGGTGCACTGGGGTTTCGTCCCCGAAATAACTCTATCATCCGACATCTCAGTCATCACTCCCTTCTTAATCATGTCACCTTTCATGCAATCCTTTCCATCTCTTTCTAGGTCTACCTCTACCGGTGTACCTCCACACTCATAAATTACATCCTTCTTGTTACATGCGATTATTCCCTCCTATGATTTCCGAATATAGTATTGTGTCGTAACAATTATTAGAAGATAGGATACATTCCAAATAATTACTGGAAGAGAAGGATCTGTAATTTACGACTATTTAAAATCTATCAAGGAATAAAAATATCATTGAATTATAGTTTTGCAAGATAGAATTTGTCTGAATTAATATTTATATCAATTGTCTTTATAAGGTAAACGCCAACCAAATAATTGAATGGGTACAAAATCCAGTACCCGTTTCGGAATACGTCAGACGTCCTTGCAGACGTTTCTCAGCAACTCCTTGCCGGGCGACTAGCTGTGGACCGCTCAGATCCGAACACAATGGGGTAAATCTTACTAATGTAATAGATGCGAAAGTTTACATGGATGTATGAATGTTTGTTAGAGTTTTGAGCCTAAACCGCTAAACGGATTTCGATGAAAAGCATTTTTATTTTCTTTTATAATATAAGGTGGCAAACGAGCAAGTGGCCACCTGAATCCACCGAAATAGAAAGCGACCGCTGCCCATAAACATCCGCAATTGCAGATGCGTTGCCTACCCTTCATTGACGAAGGAGGAAACGCACATAAAGAGGATCTATTTCCTTTTCCTATGCGTCTCCTCCACCGTCAAATCCACTTTTCCTTTCCATCCTTTCCTCTTAAGAAAAGGGTGGAAAGGGAAAGGAATTAGGCCTCCGGCATCACACTCATCAGACGAAACGCGGAATTGCTCCCACTTCACGCCTCTCTTCTGTAGGGTCGTGGTATTTCACCGGGTGAGCCGGTCCATTCGTTCGGCTCTATCACTCTTAATGTAGAGGACATTCTGGAAGAACACAAAGGCTACTTGTAATTTAATTCCACGCGGACGGAGTCACGCATTTCTGTACTATAGTTTTCTTTCTCATGGCTGCTTCATCTGATTATCAAATATTTATTTATTAACATGATATTTTTTCAGTTGGATTACTGGATGCAAGTTTGCAACACCTGCCCTCGAGTCTACCCTTGGCTTGGAAACCCTCTTGGAAGATAAATTTATTGTTATTTAAAAGTGCTGTCAAATAAAATATTTAACCGACTGCACTACAATTGTTGTTTGTACACTAAAACGAATAAAATTATTTTGTCGTATTCAATGTGTTACCTATACTCTATACTCTTGAGAATTAGATGAAATATGCGTTAAAAAACCGAGGACCTCATTTGACTTCTGACACACAAATCCGAGTAGCAATATACAAAAACTAGATGTCTAGGGTCCCTATTAAACGTATCAGAAATCAAAATGAGGTCCTCGGCAAAAGAATACTCAATACCTGCTCTAAATAGAATTCATATTATCACTTCTGCGTTATCCTCATTCATGTACAATGCAGTCATCATCATCATCATCTCCTTATCCTACTCCCGTAGGGTCGGCGCAACAGATTTTGTCCTCCGCATAACTCTCTCTCTCTTTTTCGGGTCTCAAAAACCTTAGATTCGGGACTATTTCTTTCCGCCCGGCCGCCTGCCTGTCGCCAACCCTACTTGGGATTATTTAAATGTACAATTATTACATTTATTTCATGTACAATGCAGTATATCTTACTATTATAAATGCGATTGTTTGGATGGATGTTAGCAGGTATCTTTTAAAGGGTTCATCAGACCTTGATGTGGCATTTATATAGAGTATACTCTTGAAGAACACTTGGACTATTTACTTTTGTTTTTTAATTCCGCGCTAATGAACTGCGGACAAGCTTAGTTATATCTATAGATTTTCCTTTTGGTTTCCAAAGAATATATTCAGAAAGAGACCATAGTAATGTGGGGTTATCCAAATAAAACCCCCCTCGGTGGTCATCTTCAAGTGCGATGGACGTGGCTCTGGAATCGCAGATGGAAGAAGACAGTGGCCCATTGCAGTCAGCTTGCGCGCTTCCGACTAAAGCAAACCCTTTATACTACGAGTATATAGTCTAGTAATGATGTGTCTTGATGTCATTTCTGCAACTTTTAATCTCATTCGATCATTTCTTTTGTCTGAACTGAATAATAAATCTTAATGATCTATGAATCTGGTGATAGTTTGTTTCCTTCCTTTTAAAAATGCTTAGTAAATAATTGGAACGATTTACTATCGAAAATTCGATTAATAGCAATCGATAACTAATCATAGGACATCCGATAATAGACAATGTTGAATAATTGATTTTATTTGTACTATTAAATTGTTATATAGATTGAAAAGATAATAATCTACAGGTGGCCAGTAATTGTTTATTGTTGTCCTCACTTAAGGTTTGTAGAGATAAAAATGGTGCGTAAAAAACTAGTAGGTATATTGTTAATTTTATGCTTCTTTTCAACTTTATTTTGTGACTCGCTTTCGCACACGACTCCATCCGCGTGGAATTAAAATAAAAACAAAAGTGAGTAGCGTATGTGTTCTTCCAGACTATCCTCTACATCTGTGCCAAATTTCATCGAGATCCGTTCAGCCGTTTAGGCTACAAACTAACATCCATCTAAACTTTCGCATTTAAAATATTAGTAAGAAGTATGAAGTAAGATTGCAAAGTACATTTTTAATCAATTAAACGTCGTAAACCACCAGACATTCGTGATAGACGGCAAAGTCTGAATAAGGGGATTTTTAAAAAAAAAAATTAAGTGAAATAGGAATATGTAAATAAGTAAAACGTTACAGATATATTGCACAACTTTGCGAAACCTTAACTACAAAAATCTGTTTCTTTT